TGAAAATATATTTTTCTATTTTACAACAAATGTATACTTATTTTATGTCAACCATTTAGTAGTATAAAAATAACAGTTAGGCTCTTATTTTATGTCAACCATTTAGTACAAAAATAACAGTTAGGCTCTTATTTTATGTCAACCATTTAGTAGCACAAAAATAACAGTTAGGCTCTTGTTTTATGTCAACCATTTAGTACAAAAATAACAGTTAGGCTCTTATTTTATGTCAACGAGTTAGTAGTATAAAAATAACAGTTAGGCTTTTATTTTATGTCAACCATTTAGTATAAAAATAACAGTTAGGCTCTTATTTTATGTCAACGATTTAGTAGTATAAAAATAACAGCTAGGCTTTTATTTTATGTCAACCATTTAGTAGTATAAAAATGACAGTTAGGCTTTTATTTTATGTCAACGATTTAGTAGTATAAAAATGACAGTTAGGCTTTTATTTCATGTCAACCATTTAGTAGTATAAAAATGACAGTTAGGCTTTTATTTTATATCAACCATTTAGTAGTATAAAAATGACAGTTAGGCTCTTATTTTATGTCAATTATTTAGTAGCATAAAAACAGAACGAGAGATGGCGAGGTGTATTTGTATAATTTTTTCCATTGCACATATGACATTTGCCGTAAGAAGTACCAACAGCTCTAACCCTAGAGTTATAGGTAGGATCCATATGGACGAAACATATTTTTTAAACACATTTTTCTAAACTGTTTATGTTCCAAGTTGCTTCATTGGTTACATAATAACTTATGTGTCACACGCACAAAAACTTAAACACAACGACCTTCAATATTCCACTACATTTAATCCTAATTATTTAATTATCAATCCCCGTCACACCAAACATGCTCGCTCTTTCAGCCGTGGGGGGCGTTATAATGTGACGGTCAATCCCACTATTCGTTGGTAAAAGAGTAGCCCAAGAGTTGGCGGTGGGGTATTATCGTTGGGTAAGTTAACAAACATGATTCAACATCGATTTTACTGAATGTTTGAAAAGACT